GTTCGTGGATTGCACCATGAATGAGATTCACTGCCTTCCCTCATCAAGTCTAGCCTTTCAAACTTGTAAGTGCCCTCCTTTCTCCCCCATCCGAAGCTTTCTCTGAGAACGGTTGAGTGTTCAGTCCAGGGACAGGTGAATAGCAGGCAAAGATGTGCTAACACCTGAGATGATTAAACACTAAACCGAACAGGCCAGTGAAATGATGGGGAAAAGTAGAGGTGGTGATGCTGGCTGCTGCTGCTAAGAGAAATAGATGAGTAATAAAGTAACCTCAAGACTACCGAACAATGAATGTTGTGGGAGAAAGGGAAATGTGAAGAACAGGCAGTGGATGGTGAGGGACAGGTCAAGGGAACTCTAGCTGTCAGGAAGAGAGTGATCATAATCAGTACTGGATAAGAGTATCAATTACAAAGACAGGTATGAGCACTTTTTAATAATTAGGAAAAGCTCATCGTCATTGTGGGGGAGGGAGAGGTGTCATGAAGAGTCAGACAAGACTAAAAATGACTGGACAACAGCAACATAATCATTAGACTAGAGAGACAACAAAGGCTAATACTATCCATAAAATAAGATCACATTGCCATATTTTTGTATAGAATTGCAGGGTTGAATGATAATGTTGGGGAGGGGAAGGGGCAATGGCTTCAATCAGGGAGGCTCACTTTCTCTCCCAAAGGAGACAAGAGAGGGCAAGGTGTGTTTGGTACTTACCCAAGGGATCCTTGCCCATTACTGGATGGCTTGAGCTAATGGGGAAAGGAATGAAATGATATTGTAGCCTTCCCCAGGTATCTCCCTAGAAATAAGGGGAGACTCAGAGCCATACTCTCAAAACTTAACCGTGGGCCAATTTTCCACGGTGGTTTTCCCTATAACAATCTGACTGGCTCAGGCTAGTTCCTTGGGTCCTTTTTTTCAGTTGTTTTTCAGTGGTGTTCAACTCTTCACGACCCCATTTGGGGTTTTCTTGGTAAAGATACTGGAGTGATTTGCAATGTCCTTCTCCAGCTCATTTTATAGAGGAGGAACTGAGGCAAACAAGGTTAAGTGATTTGCCCAGGGTCCCACAGCTTCTAAGTGTCTGAGGCTAGATTTGAACTCTTGAAGATAAAACTTCCTGATTCCAAGCCCAGTGCTCTATCCACTGCACCACCTGGCCACCCACAAATAAAGGAAGACTAGTAGTCCTGTCCTTTCCCTCCACCAAAGGACTCTGATCTTTTGGAAAGGCAAAGACAAAACTCTTCTTCCTTGCATTAGCCCCTAAAGCATAAACCCAGAGGGAAATATATAGACTCACTAAAAGTGCCCTAAGATGGGGAAGGGACCCACTTACTGTCAGGACACGTTTCTCAGGAAAAGGGAAGTAGGCTCAGTCAGAGGAGTGAGGCATGAACTTAGAGCAAAGGTCATCATCATACAGCTCCCCCAGTGAGGAGACCTGTGTGTGGATTCTAGTGCGAGACAAGTGCATTGTCTTAGACCTTTGCAAGCAGCTCATGGGATAGATATCACTAACATCTAGGCGGGTAGTTGGCGCAGTGGATAAAGTGTTGGATTTGGAGTCAAGAAGACAGTTCAAATCTTTCCTCCGCTATTTATTAGCTATGTGACCCTGAATGGCCTCTCTCAGCCTCAGCTTTCTTATCTGTAAGATGGAGATGATATTCACATAGAGTATGCCCACAAATTGGGGGAGAAATACCTGTACCTCTATTCTTGACATATTTTCTCAGTAAATATCTCTTCATAAAAGCTAATTGGTATTAATTGGTTAAATGAAACTGGAGCTAATCACTAGTGGCTAACATTAGGGAAAACTCTTAGAATGGGGGCTCAAGTCGATAGCATTAGAGAAAAGACACTCCTTAACTATCCAAGGTACCCTTAGAACTCTAATATGAAGATGTAGCCTTCCTCACTCTGGGAGTCCATCTTGCCAGGGCACCTGTGGGTTAGGAGTCTAAGTCTAGAGCCTGGGACAATCCCTACCAAAATTCCCCTCCCTGACCACCACTTCCCTATAGGCAATGTCACCTATCAATCAAGAAATATTTATTGAGCACTGACTGCATGCCAGACACTTAGTAAGCTCCTTGAAGGCAGACTGTCTTGTATTTGTCTTTTGTATTTGATTTTGCAGTGTTTAGCTGAGCCTGGGGGCCATAATATGTGCTAAATAAATGCTTTCTCATTTACTCATTACATCCACAATTGATCCCTATGTTTGAAAAGGGAGATGAGTGGGAATGCCAATATTGCAAGTGTATATCCTTACAAAAGGTGTGGAAAGAAGGACAGTCTTAAGCACCTAAGTGCAATTTGGGGGAAATTTAAAAGCAATCAATAAAGAAGCATTTATTAATCCCTTGCTGTGTGCCGGGTACTTTTCAACTACATTAATTCAGATCTTAACTTTTTTGGATTGTGTGCTATAATAGTGGTAAAGTGCTTAGCACAGTGCCTGGCACATAGTAGGTGCTATATAAATGCTACCTATTAGGATTATTATTATTATTATTATTATTACCTCAGTCATAGGTTGTGCTGAAGCTTATGATCTGTGGACAAAGGACCTTTTCAGTAAGTTAACAGGAAGATTGCTGGGAGGGGCAATTTTAACCTATTAAAAAGGTTTTTAACCTATTAAAAAGAACAGTATTCAAACTGTTTGCTTTGCCCATTTGTGAAAAGCACTAATTAAATGTAATCCCTATCTAATCATTAAAGCAGGTCCACACAGGACCTCCACTGAGGAGTACTTTGCAAGCCACTAGACACAGACTTGGAACATAGACATTGTTTCATAGGGCAAAAAAGAATCTTAGAGATTATCTAAGATTATTCTAAATCTAAGAGATTGTTCATTTCATAGCTAACTACCACTTTGTGTTCCTGCATGTCTTTGTGTTACTGCATTTCTTTTAAATATTTTCTAATTTTTACTTTTTACTAGTTAAGACTGAGCACCTCTCCTCTTACCCCCCTTAGAGGCCAAATTTTTCACTTTACAATAAATCTCACCTTTGGCCTGAAAACAGATTGTTAGAGTGGGGAGAGGAAGAAGCCATTTAACTTGTTAAGAAAGACTCTGGTGCTGTCAGCAGTTATAGAGAATTTTAAACCAAAGACTCAGGAATGAGATCTGGGCCGTCTTTAAGGGAAAAAGAGTCACCTCACACAAGCCAAAGGCCACTCAAACCATTACATCAGAGACTGGGACTATGAGGGGATATATACAGAATATAAGAAATCTCTATGAGGGTAGAAAGAACAAAATTTCTCAGCATGACAGTATTACTCTCTTTTCCTCTTTTCCTTCTGGTCTAAATATTCCTAACCTTTCTTGTGTCCTGGACCCCTTGGCAGTCTGGCAAGGCCTAGGAACTCCTCAGAATAATATTTTATTTATTTATTTTTTTAATTTTTAGGCAGTTGGGGCTAAGTGACTTGCCCAAGGTCACACAGCTAGTAAGTGTCAAGTGTTTGGTCTGAGGCCGGATTTGAATTCAGGTCCTCCTGACTTCAGGGCCAGTGCTCTATCCACTGTGCCACCTAGCTGCCCCTAGAATAATATTTTAAGATACATAAAATACAATTCCTATATTATAAAGAAAGCCAACTATATTGAAATGAAATTTTAAAAAAAATTTAACCAACTTCAAGGACCCAAGGTTGAAAAACCCTAAGGCATGAGAAAAAAGGGAGCAGGGCTTCCCATAAAGAGATATTAGTACTATTTAAATAAAGGCTAATCCTCTTTACCTGTATTCCCTCCAGTCTCCTCTAGGATCTTGTTCAGCTGTCATCTTCTTTCTTTTATATGTTTTACTTAAATCTCCATCAACTCCTTTCCATCTATCTACAAACAGGCTAGGATTCTCCCCAATCCTAGAAAACCCTTTTACATGACACTTCTTTCCCATTCATTTATTGTTCCATTTCTTTCTTCCTGCTAAACTTCTTGAAAAAGTTGTCTATATCTAATGCTTCCATACTTCCTCCCTACATTCCTTCTCCCTCAATGCCTTGCAATTGGGCTGTCCCCCTACCACTCTATGCAACCATTGCCTTAAAGGTTTTACCTCCTAATGCCTGGATCCAATGGCCTTCTTCCAGCCCTCATCCTCCTCAACCAACCTCTTTGTAGCTTCTGACACAATGACTGTTTGCTGATCGTGATCACATTCATTGTTCCAAACCTATTTCTTCTAGTCACTGTACACACCTAACCCCTTCTGGAAACTTCCCAACTCTTGGGACGTATGCTCTTCCCATTCTGAAACTCCAGATTACTCAGATGTTTGCCATGAAGATGTGCTATAATATACAATCTGACTGGGTTTCTTATCAAAACCAGTGTCTCGGAGGGGAGAGAAGATGGACGTTGGACAGAGAACACCTCTCTCCCTCTTCTGAACACACTGACATTCACAATGAGTCCCTGAATATTCAGACCTCAGCCTTAACACACAGATAATTTTCATACACATACTGTCTCTCTCACGTAGACTTATTCCTCTTATGATTCCACACGCTATTTTTTCTTTCTTCCCACTAACAATGTCTTTAAATTAAATCTAAGCCCTAAGACCCCTGTCAGCAACTGATGTGTTGTATTTCCTACCACATGGAGATAGTTTCTCCTCATGGAGTAGTTAATTCTACCATACTGAACACCAACATTTAGGGGTGCATGTCAATACTTCTCAAATGAGCTCAGGGAATAGCTGCCTCTTTAAGATTTACAAAGCCATCTCTGTACAACAACCCTATGAAATAGTTATCCTAAACATTATTAGCCCTGTTTCACAGATGAGGAAAACGAGGCTCAATGAAATTAAAAGATTTATGGTAGTGTCAAACTCAAATAGAAATGGAGTCCACCGAGTTATACATAGAGATTCCTGTGGACTGCTTAAAACCAAATATGTTTATATATTTCTTTTTTATTGATACAGCAACACATTAAAATCAGATAGGAACTTTATTTTAATCTGTTGCAGGCTGTTAAGGCATGTTTGACACCTCTACCCCAGCTTCTCCAACTATTACGTGTCAGAAGAGGAGATAGCTGTAGGATCTCAGCTATCAGACAATTGTTCAATGGTGAGAAGAACTTTCTGAAGATGAATCTCTTTCAGGAAGCCAGAAAGCTGAAAAGTCTTATCATTCTAGTCCGATGTTCTAGGGCCAGTTACCCTTGGCCCTGGCTCCTCCTCCAGTTCTCCAGATCTTGAGAATTCCACGCCCTGAGAAAGAAGATGGGCATATAAAAATAAGAGTCAGATTCAGAGAGATAATAATTGAACCCGGCTGATGAGGACATTGACAGAGGTTCAAAGATAAGGGACTCCAGAGCCTTGGAGGTACATTCATAGTCAGGAGGTGAAATATTGATGATGACCCAGCAAAGAAAACTGAGAGGGACCAGCTAGACAAGAAAGAGAGACCACTGTACTGAAAACCCAGAGAAGAGAGAAAACCCAAGAGGTGAGGGTTATTTGCTGTAGATTTGGAAAATTCAAATCATCTCTTTCTGTCACTCAGTTTCACAAAAGCAAAAGTCAAAAGCTAAAGATCGTGATGTCTTCTAGTGCTTTTTGAATAGAGATTTCCCAAGGAAGGAGCCACAGTAAGCTAAATGATAAGGCTGCCAAGGAACTGGATGTTTATAACTGCAAGCAAGCATGGTGTATAGCAGCAGCTAGGGATCTGGGTACTGTGACAACCTAGTCCAAGAATCAGCACGAATACATGATGCAACACAGTAAGCAAGACTATTCTTGGTCAGAATACTCACAATTATTTTTGGTTGGGGTGCCTTGGGTAAATGCATTGGAGAAGCTTTGTGACTATGGCCCTGGAAGCCATTCAAATGGGTATTTATGGACTTATTTTTCATTGAGCTTGACTAGGGGGGGTTTCAGGAATGACAGATTATTTGGCACCAAAAACCTTTAGCTAACCAGAATATCTCTAAATTAAGTAGTGAAGCAGACAGGCTGCGAGTTACTGGACACTAATTCATGCCGAGGCTGAAAAATTCAAGTGGCCTACAATGTCTTCTTTCAATTAGACATTTTAAAATATCTCATGAATACAAATACAAAAAGAAAATTTGAATAATGTATTCTGGGGCCCTTCCATCGAGGCTGCTGTTTAATAGTATAAAGAAAGAGAGAGCAAAGAGTTTGTCCATCAGGGTAGTGCCAAGAGCAAACCTGCCATCTCTTGAAATTCAGAGCCCACACTGATGATTGGTTTTCCTTCTAGAGTTCCCAAGAGCCTTTTAAACACCAAACCTATCTTTCTGGCTCCTCAATTGCCATGCTCAGAAAACTTGGTCAAGTCACCCAAAATCATAGCCTTGGTCCCTCCAGCTATAAAATCTCTCTACCCAATTCCTTGTTCTGCTGCTATGGGACATTTGAGACATTGTTAGAAGGGGGCTGGTCTCTAAGTCCCTAAATGCTGCAATTCATTTGTTCCATTCTACCATATTTTGCTTTCGCTAATTTCTTATTCATTTACTAACCTTCTCTTTTTCTTCCCTCTCCATCTCTTGTTTTTCCCTCTTTTGCCCCCTTTCCTTCCTCTGTCCCTTCTTTTTTTCCCCTCTCTTTCCTCATTTTTAATTGCACAAACTAAAACTTCTATATCATCTTCAGCACACCTCTTACACATTAAACCTACATGCACATGCTAGGTGGTTTAGCAATATCAGAGAAAATAAAAAGGAATCTATCTTGTGTTTCTGGCTTTATTAACCAACCCATCCTCCATTTTCCATCTCTTGCCTTTTAACAATTTCCTTGGACCCTTTACCTGGTTAAAAAAAAAAAAGTCAAAAGTTCGTGTTTAAGGTCAGGTGACCAGAATAAGCAGAATCCAAAGACCTTTTGGGTGGATCTGATATATAGGTAAGCGTCTATTGTAGCTAGGAAGTCCATTGTGTCAAGTCAAGCATTAATTAATTAATTAACTAATTAACTGTGTGTGAGCCACTGTACTAGGTGCTTATGGTCATAGTGCTTTTGAAACAAAAGGAAAAGGTTAGCTCCATAATTTCACAGGGTTGTTGTAAGGAAAGTACCTTATAAACTGTCTATATACAAACTGTCTATACTGGCTATACAAGTAGGTGTATTTCTTCTTATTATTATCACTACTGTTGATTTTGTCACAACAAGGTTAAGGGAGGCAGGATGAAAAGAGCACTGGATTTTTTGTTAGAAGGTCTTTCTTCCAGTTCTAGTCCTTATGTGACTTTGGGCAAGTCAAAACTCAGTTTAATCATCTGTAAAATGGGGATGATATTCACACTGCCTACTTCAGAAGATTGTAAGTTAATTATTACAGATGCTTCTTCTTTCTTTAGAAAATGACTGGGCAGGCAGTGGGCAGAAGAAAAAAGAATTTCAGCCCTAGGTTAATTCCTTACCCCCTTCCCTTCAAATGCTCTCGCAATTGCCTGAAATTGCTTTCACAAGGACAAAACCTTTCATTCCACTATTAGAGGCACGGCTTAAAATTTAAAATAGAATCAGAGACCTAGAGCTGGAAGGACTTTGGAAATCATGGAGTCCAGTCTCCTCATTTTACTGATGAAGAAACTGAGGCAAAGCAATAAGCATTTATTAAGTGCTTACTATGTGCAAATTGTTGTCAAGTACAAGCAAAAAGAAACAGTCCTTGCCCTCAAGGAGCTTACAATCTAATGGAGGAATATAACACATAACAGGGATGGAGGGGGGTGGGTTAAAGTACCCCAATGGGGAAGCTGAAGAGTGGAAAGTCAGAAGTACAGCTAGGAGAGTAATGAAGGACAGTCCCAAAATAGAGGCCCTAAGAGAAACCCATCAATGGGAAAAGGGGCCAGGCAGTTATTGTTAGGAGAACTCATGAAGAAGAGTCTTCCTGATTCTAGGCCCAGCGCTCTATCCATTACACCACCTAGCTCCCCTGTACTGCAACCAATGGTCTTCTCAAAATGCATCACCATCAAGTATAAATGGCTGATCTCAGATCCTTTCCTAGCAGTCACTTGTTTTTGGTTGGTTTTTTGAGGGGAGGGGTGGGAGAAGCAGGAGGAGAGTAAGAAGCCATGATTCACTTGATCAGGAGAAAGAGGACAAAAGAAGAGCAAAGAAGGGGGAAGCTAGGGGCACAGGGGATGAACTTAAAAACCACACCTAGAATCTCTCCTGTTCCCTTAGGCCTCACCCCATCGCTCCTTGTGGCAGGTAGGAGACTTTTACACGACAGAGACCAGAGGGAGACATTCCAGTTGCCTTTTTGAGATGCATCTCCACCCCTATTAATGATGGTAGAGAGAGGCTCACCAAGGCAGAGAGATCCTCACTGGACCCATCAAGGCCTCACCAAAACTCCTGCTTCCAGCTGCCCAGGGAAGTAATACTGCAAAGTTAACCCCCAAGGTCTGAGCTTGGAGTCAGAGATCCAGGGGGATTTCCCAGACTTCCTTTCAGTCCTGGCCTCTAGACCCCAGAAGGAGGACTGGGCTTCTTCTCTGGCCTGGGTTTCTGACCAAAGTGGAGCATCAATCAGTTTTCTGTCCAATCCTGACTGGCATCCTTTTTTTTCCCCTTGAGCTACTAGCAAAGCCCAGATAAGAATTGTCCTAGCAGAGCCACCTGGGAAAGCAGCTTCTTTTGGCTCTGGGATCAGAACACCTGAATTTGAATCCTGCCTCTGATGGTTACTACCCTTGTGATCTTGGACAAGTCACTTAACCTCTCTTGGCCTCAGTTTCTTCATTTGTAAAATGAGGAGGGGATGAGGTCTAGAGGTTTAGGGGTGCTGGGACCCCAAGATCACGACACACGGGTCCTGCCTGAAAGAATTTGACCCAAATCTTCTTTCAGCCAGAGACAAAGTTTTTTATTAGAGATAAACCATACAGGCCAGACTCTTAAGGAATCTGAACATTAGTGATGCCTGTAAGGATGAACAGCATGAGAAAATCTCAGCATTTCAATGGGGGCCAAGGTGGATCTTATATAGACTCAAATAATTTTGGGTGTTCAGAGGAGGGGCTGGGAGAAAGATCCTGAAGCTGGAGTGAATTTAGGGAGAATTCCCACCGGAAAGTCTGGGAGGTTGAATAGACAATGGGGATAATGAAGGGAACTGGAAGGAAGAGGTTTGAATGGGGTCTGGATAAGATCAAAGGTGGAAAATAACTTCATTTTGGTTTTCAAAAGGAGATAGGGAGAGTTAATAAGAAAGTCCATTGAATGGAGTATAGCCTCAGGTAACCATCTGAGACCAGAGTGAGGTCAAAGAAAGTTTAAGAGTTTTCTGGGGCCATAGACAAATGGGACCCAAATTCTTTTTGGTGCAAGGGGCAAAGGTCTCATCTTGGGCCCATACCCCATCAGAGGGCTGTACTAGATGGTGTCTGAGGTCCTTTCCAGCTCTGGATCTATGATTCTATGCTCTCCTACTGTTCAGGTTTAGGGGTTATAGGGTGCTGGGACCCCAAAATATTGAGAGCAAGAGACATGGATCCTGCCCAAAAGAATTCGACCCAAGCCTTCTTTCAACCAAAGACAAGTTTTATTAGAACATCCTCCATATTGGGCAGACTCTTAAGGCATCTAAGAATTTGTATCACTAATGTAAGCAGGCTAGATTTTAAGAATCTGAGCACTTTAATGGGGACAAGATGGACCTCATATACAGAAAGACTGTGAGAGAGATCTAGGAGTGGCCAAGTGGTTTGGGATGACTAGAATGCCTGCGACCTGGACCACATGGCCAAGGGACAATGAAGCCTGGCTAGGATTAAGGGTGGGAAATGGCAGGGGCCATAGGGAGGTAAAACAATGGAGGGCTAGGCTAGATTAAAGGTAACAGAGAGTTAGGAGATGGGGCATAGCCACAATGAAAGGCCAGTCTATGGGATTGTATTCTCAGGCAAACACTAAAGATTTGGCCAGGTGGGAAAGTCCAAAGTTTTTCCTTTCTGGGGTCCAGACGCCATCCCCATCACTACAACACAATCATCAACTACTGACCATTCACCTCAACCAGCATATGGAAACCAGTGGGCAAAGTACTAAGTCCCAAACTAGACTGTAAACTCCTTTGTGCTAGGCAAGGGATGGTCTGGTAGAGGGTAGAGAGCTCTGAACTAGGAGTTAGGAATTCCGGATTTGAGTCCGGGCTCTGCCACATACTGATTGCATGATCCAGGGCAACAAACGCCAGCCAGTCCCAATGGGTA